GTGTAAAATACTCTGAACAACCTTAAGTACTATATTAATGTCAACTATTATTACTAATTGAATGATGGGAACAAGCATTTATTAGGCATCTAATATGTATCAGGCACTCTGCTACGTGCTTACAAATCTCTCATTTGGTCCTCACACATGAGGTAGGTGCTATTATTACCCCCATTTTACAGCTAAGGAAAATTGAGGCAGACAGAAGATAAGTTATTTGCCCAAGGTCACACAGCCATTAAATAGCTGAGAACTCAAGTGCTCCTCACTGTAGGCCCAGGGCTCTATCCACTTCACCACCTAGCTGTCTCTAATGACGATGTGCATGGAGCACTATAAGATCAGATGAAGTAGTCATTTCTAGCTCGGCAGAATCTGGGAAAGCACATCTAAGAAGATAGTACTGTATCTGAGGTTTGAAGGGTGGATAATAATGTCAATGAACAGAAACAGTGAGGAAAGCATTCCACATACAGGGAATAGCCTAAACAAAGATGCCAAAGCAGAAAAGGGGTTTGAGCAGTCCACATGCTATTTTTCAGTCCCCAAGACTAACATCAACTTCTTCTATTTGCCCCCAAATGGGCCCCCTAAAAAAAGATCAATCATTCTTATCCTTAAGTTAAATGGAAAAAAAAGTCTGATAGGCCAGACAGAAGATTTTATAAAGACTGCTTACTAAAAGCTATTAAAAATAAAACCAAAGCTTAGTTAATATATAAGCAATAAACCAAGCAGTGGAATGCAGAGGAAAAAGCCTAAGTCTGGGATACAGGAAACTTGAGTTGCAGTTTTGACTCTGCCATAAAGTTACTGTATGATTTGGAGAGCAAGAGAACATGAACTCTCTTTGGATTTAACATCCCATATTAATAAAATGAAGGAATCTGGCTAGGCGGCCTTTAAGGACTTCTTGCGCGGACGGTCTATGATTCAATAATTCCCCTCTGTAACTCTATCTTTTCTGGCACTTACTTTGACAAAAAAGCTGGCCAACACATGTATACACCCTTCCCACTCAATGAGTCCCTAAGCCAAAAAAATGACCAGAAACTAACTGGACAAGATGTGGGCCAGTCACTTTTTCAACAACCTGAAGAAAAAGGAACTGTCAGTACCATGTATGAAGTATCATAAGTCAAATCAGGGCAAGGTACAAAGGAGTTCAATTTATCCAAGTACCAACACAACACGGTAAAGACTAGGAACCACTAATAGGTAGGCATTCTGAAAGCAGAACAAGCATACATTTCATAGAATCACGAAATGTTAGGGCTATAGAAGGCTTAGAGATCATTTACCTACCTACTTCACAAATGAGGGAGCTGACATCCAGAGACAGGCAAAGGAGATCAAGAGTAGACAAGCAGGCAGACTAGAAAAACATTACAAGACAAGAGCAGACACAAGGGTGGTCTGAAGTCCAAGACAAGTGGTCAGAGTCACAGAGTTTGCAATCATTGAAAGGTTGGGGACAACTGGCTCCAATAGCATGCACCAGAATTCAGGAGGCTAGTTCACATGGCCAGTTTCTCTATTTTTTTTCCCCTCGGTTTTCTACAGGAGGTAGGGACCGACTGGTCCCTTCAGACTGAACAGGCTCTGCAGTTTAGAACAGGCAGTTGCCAGCACCTGGCAAGAATGGATTAGTTAGGTAGGGGACCAAGAAACAGTTGCTGGTGGTCTGAAGCTCAAGTCAGGCTCCTCCCAAACAGGAAAGCTGGAAAGCTTGTATTTGACCTAGATATCCCTCTCTTCCTAATGGAGACCGAGGGCAAGAAAACCAGTCCTACAGTGAATTTCAAAAGATGTCATTCCAAAAAAACTTAGGCCTTCTGACGTATACAGTTCCAAATATGTGTAACATTACAATTTATAAGGTGCTCTCTTCTCAAAAACCCAGTTAAGTCCAGATATTTAAGTACTATGACACCCATTTTACAAATAAGGAAACCAAAGCTCAGAAAGCTTAAATGATTTGCCCAAGGTCACAAAGGCTAGGTGATTCAAACCCTGTTTTCTTGACTCTAAATTGAATGTTCTTTTCACTACACCACAGTGCTCTGGCAAGGGGCTTGGGCAAGAAATTCTTTCTTAATTTATGAAATAATCTCTAAAAAGGCATTCTGGTGTAATGGAAAGGTCACTGGACCTAGAAGACCTGTCTAGTCTCATCAGTGCTACTAATTTGGTGTGTGACCCTAAGCAAATAAGTCCCTCCCCTTCACTTGGCCTGGGATTGTTCATCGGTAATTTCCAATGCCCCCTCTGGCTCTGGCTCTTTGGACAAAGGATTTTGCAAGAGAGTTGGTATGGTATGGAAGGATGTCAGTGAAGATGATCTAACTCAGCTAGTGGCTTTTTCTAAGGGATCAAAACATTTTGAAGTCATCAGTCTGCATGTTAAAGGGGCACCAAAGTGTAGCGGGGGAGAAATGGAGGGAGAAGAAAGGAAGAACTCCACTGACCACAGTGCTGGCCCTTAAGTGGTCCTGGAAACCACAATCAACTCCTTGGCACTAGGAATTTTCATCATGAAAGCCTTTAAATCCACCAACAATTCTGATCATCATTCCTCCTCCCTCCCCAAATCCATCATCAGCTTGAATAATCCTCCAGTCACACCGGCACCATAACCCTGAGAAACAGCATCTCCTTAGAGAAAGCTCCTTCCCAGGTCAGACCCAGGGAATAGTAAAAGGCTCCTGAACTGTGAGTGACTCAGCCCATTCAACTCAATTTTAGCAAGTTCATGTAATCTTTGGGTCCAGGACTATCTAATTTCAGGTTTTCCAACAGTCAGGGCTTGTACTAAATTTTATCAGCCTTCCAATCAGAGGCCTCAGTGAACTTCTAGGATAAAATGCTTCAAAACACAGAGTTTCTTGTGTCCTGGCAAGCCTCCTGTTTTTCTGGCTTTGCGAAGGTTAGCCAAAGAGGGAATTACAGGTGGAAGGTGAAGGCTGGAAAGGAAAGGACTTTGCTTACTGCTCTGCAACCTAACCGGTGCCGGCACTGCTCAATGAAACTAACAAGGGGGGGCAGCTAGCTGGCGCAGTGGATAGAACACCAGCCCTGGATTCAGGAGGACCTGAGTTCAAATCCGGCCTCAGACACATAACACTTACTAGCTGTGTGACCCTGGGCAAGTCACTTAACCCCATTGCCTAAAATAACAACAACAACAACAACAACAAAAAGAAACTAACAAGGAAGGAAGGTCATGTGGGGTCCTTATCTGAGGCCACACACTTAAAAAAAAACAACCAACAGTAACAATTTACATTTCTATATCATCCTAAGACTTTCAAGGCAAAATGACTTTGGATGAGTATCAACCCCATATTACTGATAGGACAACTAAGGCAAGGCAGTAGAACACTGATTCAAACGGAGGTCTCCAGTCCTATTCCGGTATTCTTTCCACTTCATTACAATGGAGTAAGAGACACATAACTTAAACTAGTTCATTTTCTAAGAAAACAAACATTTCAATGGGGTGAGCACTGGAAGAAATTAGACTGCCCATATCTTTTGAGTCCTCTTCTCTACATTTTCCTAACTTCCAGGCATAACGTCCAACCCTACTGGTCAACTACTATTTGAGAAAAGAACATATACTGTCTCTATTTTGAGTCACTAAACCTGGAAGGATGACAGAGGTTGCTTTGGGAGAGGCTTCCACAAATCTAGAATTTTCCTATTCCAGAGCTTCAGATCTGAGTCACTTTATCAGGAAGTAAGACTCCCTCTGTGCAAAACCCTTGCATATCTTCCCTTGAGAAAGAAGGCAGGATGCTACCTTCACCCACCACCCTATTTAACACAGGAAAGATCAACAGTCAGGAGATGGATAAATAGGTCTTCTCTTTCTCTCTCTCTCTCTCTCTCTCTCCCATGCATAATGCCAGCTGCATCCCTCACATTAAGCTTGAGGAGATAACGGGTGTAGTGGGGGTAGTGACTGGAGTTTAAGCAATACTAGGAGAGAAGAATTCCCTACCTACCCCTCCACCAAATCTTAGCCCTAGGGGGATTTTGAGATAATCTACTCTAGAGACTCCTCCCCACCACCCTCATTTTATAGATGGGGAAACTAAGGCCCGAAAAGGCTAACAACTCACCCTGCTTTTCAGGTTTACAAAGTGCTTTTCTCACTCACATCATCCCTGTCTGTGACAGGCAATGCCAGTATTGTTAACCCTATTTTAAGGATGGAGAAAACCAGTTCAGAGCTAAAGTGATTTTGCCTGCCCTTGGTCAAGCAGTGGGCCAAGAAGGATCTGGAACACATGCCTCTCGCTTTCCATCCCTCTGTTAGCCAAAAAGGTGAGACAGGAGGCTGGACTAAATGACCTGGAAGGTTCTATGAACTCAGGATTCCTCTGGTCCCCACCCGCTCCTGCTCCTTCTCTTCATCCCCCTCCTCTCCCCTAGGATCACTGAGATGTCAGGACCCCGGGGGACAGGTCTGGAGTGGAAGCGAAAAGAAGGGAAGGGAAGGCTGAGGATAGAGAGGAACACCCCCCACGGGAGTCCACTTCGGGGAGGGGGGGTTCCGCTGTGGGGCCAGGAGGGAAGAGAAGTCACGGGGTGATGCCTCGGTCAGTTCCATCACATTGAGCCGCGGGTCGGGGAAAAGAGGCCGGAATCTCCCTTTTTTCCTGCCCACCCCCACCAGCAATACTGAGAAATGGGGCATTCCCCGCGGCCCCCTGCGGGAGAAAGGAAGCGAAGGGTCGGTCACCAAGAGCTCCCGGCTTTCAGGATCTAAGGGCGGTTCCACTGAAGCAGCTAGGATGGGGTGGGGGAGCGCGAGGGGGCGGCCGGCACCATCGGGGCGGGGGGGGGCACCAGGGGGCGGCCAGCACCATCGGAGCGAGCTGGAGAGGGGGCGCGAGGGGGCGGTCGACACCATTGGGGAGGGCGGGGGGGGCGCAAGGAGCCGGTCGACACCATTGGGCGGGCGGTGGGGGGGGCAAGAAGCCACAGACCGTTACCTGTCGCCGAGGGCGCCGCCGCCCCACTCTCCCCAGCCCATTCCGCCTCCGTAGGGACGGCCCCCGCCTCGGCTCTCTCCGCCTCGTCCGGCACCTCCAGCTCCATCGCCGCTGACGGGCCCGAGGCGAGGCGGGGGCCGGCGGGGGGGAAGCCCCGCCAGGCCCAGCCGGCTCCTCGGCGGAGGGAAGGGGGCTGCTGCCGCTGCCGCGCCGCCGCCGCCGCCGCCGCCGCCGCCGCCGTGGAACAACAACCGCCGGGAGAGTCGGGGCTGACAAGGAGAGAGGGAGGGAGTGAAGGGGGAGGAGGGAGGGAGGGGACGGGGAGGGAGAGAGGGAGTGGGGAGGGAGGGGGCGGGGCCGCGGCCGTGTCTCGTCACGCGCCCTCTCTCCCTACCAACCGGGAAAGGGATTGGGAGTGGGGAGGGAGCGGGTTGATGTCTTCACGCCGAGGCGGGAGAGCGCCTCCCTGGGGCGAGCTGGTGAAAGGGCAGTCGCAGGGTCGTGCCTTGTGACCCTTGGCCGTCCAGGAGGCCGGCGTGGGGAGGGAAAAGGAGCTCAGAATTGGAAGGAGCCTAACTCCATCACTTTCTCCACGAATGCCCTCCAGCTCTCGTCATCATCATATTAATGATGATGGTGGTGATGGTAACTAGCATTTATACAGGGTGACCCAATAGGCTTGGTGCAGTTTTAAACTATCAAAGCTTATTAAGCAGTGCATATAGTGCTTTAAAGTTCTCAAAGCTTTCTACAAATAATGTCTCATCTTTATCAACACAACAACCTTGGGAGGTAGGTGTTATCTCCATTTTACAGAAGAGGAAGCTGAGGCAGACAGAAGTTATATGACTTGTCCAGGGTCGCACAGCTAGTGATTGTCTGAAGCCAAATTGGAACTTGAGTCTTCCTAACTCCAGGTCCAGCATTGGTTTGAAGGCTTCCAAGGACAGGGAACCCACTACATCCAGGGGCAGCTTATTCCTTTTATTTCGTGTTAGGAAGTTCTTCATATCAAGCTTACATCTTTCTCTTTCCAATTTCCATCCATGCTCAATGTTTCATCCATGTGACAGCTAGCTCTTCAGGTACTTGAAGATAGCCTGGTCCGTACTTGGTCCACTCTAGTCTTCTCTAGGCTAAAGGACCCTAGTTCTTTCAGTTAGCAATCATGGCATGAAGGTCACCATCTTATTTGCTTTTCTCTGGATGCCCTCCAGATTATTGATGTCCTTTCTAAAAGGATGTGGCTAGGTTATACACAATACTCCTGTTGTGGTCTGGCCTTGGTATAACCCAGAGACATTGTCACTTCCTAGCCCTGAATGGTAGGCCTTTTTTGTTGCAGTCTAAAGTCAGATTTTTGGAGGCTGCCATTCGACTCACATATGGAACTCTCAATTAACTGAACCCCATCTTTTTCTCAGATGTATTTCTGTCTAACTATGCCTCCCTGGGAAGATTATTTTTAAAAATGCAAGCATATGACTTTACATTGACATTTAGGAAATTGTCTCTTCAATTGAATTGATTGTATTCTTAAAATATTTCTCAAATTATTCCTAAAACTTAATTCTAGGATATTAAAATTATCACTCTCTAATATTAATAATATCCTTCTATCAATGCTTACTTAAATGTATGTACTTAACCCTAAATCATACAAATTTCCGAACCCTATTACTTTTCCTAAAACTCTTAACACTGACCCCTTGCCTTGACCCTAAAAAAGACATACTATTCATATCAGTGGCCCTATTCTAAACCTGAATCCATATTCCAGTCCAGCTCTACCTTTGTGAGCACCATAAAGGAGGAATACTTATGAAAAAAGAATCAGGGGCAAAGAGGGAAAAAGCAACTATCATTTGGACTAGATTCTGAATAATAAATAAGTGGAAGGAAGGAAGGAAGAAGTTCCTGAAATTGAAGTAAAGCAATAAAAATTCTAGTTGCTAGGTGTTTTTTTAAAGGAGCAGTCTAGGATTATTGAGAACATGTTCTGAATAAAATAAGAAATTTACCTCAAAAGTGAGGTAAAAAGAGAAAAGATCTTGTCTGGGAGGTAAAACAAGGAACTTCCCACTGGACCAGAAGAGAACCACTAAAGAGAATCTATGTCAAACAAGGAAGCAGAAGACCTCTGGCAGAGGTCTTTGATCACATATGGAGGTTGTCAACCAAAGCTCTTGCGCAGGATGCACGATTAAATGGTGAGACCTGTAAAAGAAACAAGATGAATAAAAAGATAATAAAAGACCTCTAGAAAAAGGCTGTGGTAGGACATAGCAAGACTAAGGTTATAGCCTTTATCTTAGCCCAAATAGGCTGAAAAGCAATTAGATTCAGCTCAGCATTCTGGCCTAGCAAGATCTTTCTGGATCCTGACATCATTTGGTTTGTTACCTATCTTGGCTCTGTGTCTGTACATTTGAGAAGCATGCCATCAGTGTCAGTCCAAATCATGGATACAAATGTTGAACAACCCAGGGCTGGGCACAGATAGGCTAAAATCCTCACCCTGCTACTTGTTAGCTCTGGGACTGTGGGTACTATGAAATGAGTTTGAACCATGTGATCACTGAGGATCCTTCCAGCCCAGATCTTGTGAGTGTGTCTGTGTGTGTAACAACAAGGGTTTGGCATATTCACAGACCTCAACAGTTTGCTCAGCTATGCATGTGGACAATGCTGAGGAAAGGCTTGATGACTTATAAGGGAAGTATTCTGGAGGGACTGTGGTTCATGCATAGTCCTATAACTAGTTCTGGTCTACTAACCACTTGGTGAATGGGAGGCTCTTTGGTTGCACAGTCATTTAAAAAGCCTTAGGTGGCTTCTGTCATCTCTCTGCTTCAGACTTTTTGACTGAATACTCTCCTCTTGGTGGAGTGGGAGTGGCTCCACCCATTAAGTCTAGTGAAGCAAAGAGAGTCTTCAAGATGGAGGGTTTCAAAAGGTCTGAAGAGGAAGCCACCGGACTCCAGAAGTCGAAGTCCAGGTCAGGTTTTACAGCCAGTGCAGTGCCTTGTTCTAAGGAACGTGGTTACTATGGGAATAACACTCAATGCAGTGTAACGTCTCTTACACCCTACTTCCTACTTTCCTCTGACACTGACACCACCCTTGTGCAGGAAGTCATAGTCTCATGCCTAGACTATTGAAATAGTCTTTGGTTGGTCTTACTGCCTCAAGTCTCTTCTTACTCCAGTTCATCCTCCACTCAGCTGTCAAATTGGTAGTCTTTATTTTTAACATTCAGTTCTTTAAAAAAAAGTTCTAAAATTCCCATCCCCCTCCTTTTCTTCCCCTGCCCATTGAGAAGACAAGCAATGATATCGATTATACATGTGAAAACATGCAAAACCATATTAGCCATGTTGCAAATACATTTTTAAAAAGCAAGAAAAAGAGTGAAAAAAAGTATTCTTCTGTCTGCATTCAGAGTTCATCAGATCCTTTTCTGGAGGTGGACAACATTTTTCATTGAGTCCTTTGGAATTGTCTTGGATTATTGTATTGATCAGAGTAGCTAAGTCTTTCACATTTATTACAATATTGTTATTCCTATGTACAATTTTCACTGGATTCTACTCATTTCATTTTGCATCAGCTCACGTAAGTCTTCCCAGGTTTTTCTGAAAGCTTCCTGCTTGTCATTTCTTATAGCACAGTAGTATTCTATCACGATCATATATCACATCTTGTTCAACATTTCCCAAATGATGGGCATCCCCTCAATTTCCAGTTGTTTGCCACCACAGAAAGAGCTGCTATAAATATTTTTGTGCACATGGGTTTTTTTCCCTTTTCTTTGGTCTCTTTTGGGTTACAGACCTAATAATGTTATTGCTGGGTCAAAGGGTATGCACAGTTTTATAGCCTTTTGTGCATAGTTCCAAATTGTTCTCTAGAATAATTAGACCATTTCACAACTCACCAACAGTGTACTGTAGTACCTATTTTTCCACATCCCAGCCAGCATTTATCATTTTTTCCTGTCATCTTAGCCAATCTGCTATACGTGAGGTGTACCTCAGAGTTGTTTTAATTTGCATGTCTCTAGTCAACAGTGATTTAGAACATTTTTGTGTGTGGCTGTTGGTAGTTTTGATTTCTTTTGAAAACTGTTCATATCCTTTGATCATTTTTCAATTGGCTCTTATTTTTATTAATTTGGCTTAGCTCTGTATGTACCAAATTGATCATCTTTAAGGGCAAATCTGATCATATCATTCCCTCTACCCTCATTCAATAAATCCAGTGGCTCATCAGTACAAGGATCAAATATAAAATCCTCTGGCATTCAAAGCCTTTCACAACTTGGCTGGCCATCACCTTCCTTTCCAGTCTTCTTAAACTTTACTCTGCACATACTCAGCAGTGTAGGGACACTGGTCTCCTTGCTGTTCCTCAAACAAGGCACTCCATCTCCTCACTTAGCCTTTTCACTGGATGTCCCACATGCCTGGAACTCTGTTCTTCCTCATTTCTACCTCTTGGCTTTCCTGGCTTCTTCTGAGGCAGCTAAAATTTCACCTTTTGCAAGAAGCCTCTCCTGAACCCCCCTATTTGCTCATACTTCCCCTCTATTGATTATCCCCAATTTATATATATATATATATATATATATATATATATACACATATATATACATATATAATGTATATAATCGATGTGTATACACACTCAACACACATATGTATGTATGTATATAGGTTATGTGTATACATCATCTTGTTTCTAGATTGTGAGCTCCTTGAGACCAAGGACTGTCTTTTTCCTTTCCTTGTACCCCCAGTTCTTTGCACAGGGCCTGACACATAGTAGGTGCTAAATAAATGCTTACTGACTGAAATTGATTTGTCTTGATGTTGGAACTAAGTTGAACCCACTCTTCCTAGAGACTAGTTTGATATAGAGGAAAGTATGCCTCTGCCTCTCCCCAGATATTGAGAGGGGGCAATGTGTGTACATGTTTTCTTGCTATATCTCTGAATTAAATATCCCTCTGTTAAAACTGCCCAATTTTACATGGTTAAGTGGAACTGGGATACTAGTAAAGTCCCTGACAATGGGGGAACACAGCTGGTGGGTAAGGACTTGATGATGACAGTAGAGAAAAGACATCTCAAACCCTTTTGGTTATCCCCTTGAATGCTGAGGGAAGATATAACTGGCCTGGCTGGGAAACATACATGTTTTGTGTGTGTGTGTGTAGGGAGAGGACTTTTACCCTACAGAAGACTAAGTGGAAACATTTT